TGGCATGACGGGACAAGAAGTAAACAGAAACACCAGGCATATATACACACACAGGAACTAACGAGCAGGGTGGGAACAACACAGGTGAGGGACATCAGGCTAACGGGCAGACAGAGAGACAGCAGGGAAAACAGAGAGAGGCAGGCAGACAGAAATAGCAAAGGGGAAAACAGAGAGACTGACATGCAGAGGGATTACTGGGGTAACAGGCACAACACAAGATGTAACAGATCAGAAATAACTAACAAACTAACTCAGACACAAGCAGACAGATCACAACAAAACTAACACCAACAGGGAAAACAGACTGATGCTGGGATAAAACAGAACTCAGAGCAGGCATGGGTAAAACAACACAGAAGTACACAGACCCGGAGAAAACACTAAGACATGAACTGAGACACAGAACGAGGAGCTAAGATAGAGCTAAACCTAAGATACAAGACAGATATTAAGTAAACTAAAAGATGCGGATGAACAAAATGATAAACAAGGCTACACGGAGGCTAAAGCAGAATGATCAAAATCATAATGAACTAAACAGATCATAACCGCACAACCAGACTGTACCAGACTGACCAGCACAAACACACAGAGTAAACTAGACACAAGACATGACTGAACCCCAAAACACAGACTAACTATATAACATATAATGGACACAGGGCAAAGACAGGACTGAAACCCATACACAGAGAAACCAAAATCAAAACACAGAGAAGGCATGGCCAAAATAATATAACACAGACAAGCTCAGGTCAGGATCGTGACATGTAGGCTCTAAGTGTTGTTTGCACAGTACAAGACATTTTAATAAAAATACCAAATCAAAAACTCTGACAATAGCATTGTGTTTCTGCTTTGCATGACTTATAAGACCCAATCAGAGAGCCAAACGTGAGCGGCTGCATCATTGTTTTTAAAGTCCTCCGTTTTTGCCCATCTGCACTAAAACGCTACCAGGAGTTGAAAAACGGGATCAGCAGCGTTTTAAAACTTCTCCATTTTAGGTCTTCATTTTTGCCGTTTTAGTCTGGACGGGAGGTGAAAACGTTGCAAACGGTCTCCGTTTTAAAACAAAAACGCAGTAGTGTGGATGGGGCCTTACTCATATTCACTCTCAGCAGGACTCTCCTTACATCTGCTGTGGATCCTGACAGCGGCCGGTCCTCTGGAAATGCAGTAGACTTTACAGCTGACTCCTTGTTGAGGAGATCAAAGCAAACATAAAATCAGTTCATCAGGTAATGTGGCCTCACACATGATGGGGGAGCTCCTGCTTTTGTAGCCTGTGATGTTCTTGATGGCCTGCCACATATCACAATGGTGTTGTTGGTGTTGAGGTGTCTCTCAAGTCTCTGCTGATGTCTCCGCTTTTCCTCCTTGATGCCAGCAGTCTCGACTCTGGCAGTGCTGTAAGCTTCTTTATCACCCGACCAAAAAGCAGCTTTTTGGCTCTGGACAGAGCCCTCGCCTCTCCATTGGGGAATGATTTGATCGTTTTAGTGATCACCAAATCATCAACACATTTTCTGATGTATGATGTCAATGGTCATGTATATTCCTCAAGGTTGATGTGGCTCTCCTGGGTGGTGGCCTCTCTGAACACACTTCAATCTGTGCTCCCAAAAACAGTCCTGCAGAGCTGCTGTAGGACTTGGGACAACTGAGGTTAAAACTTGCTATGAGGCCATAACGTTGACCACTTAGCAACCATACTGCCCATTTAGAGGGTAGAAGTAAGGTTTGGGTTGGAGGAATGTGAGAACTGAGACAAATTGGAGAGAATGGTGTACAACAGGTGTATACATATGCGCAGGTGATTGGATTAGAGGTGGATGAACTGAGTGACTATGGTTTTTGGACAGTTCGTTGTATTTTCTTATTAATTAACTTTATAACTAAAACTAAAAGTCCATGCTCATGTTTTGGTGTCTCATTCAGATTTATTTTTTTTTGACAGATATACAGATGATAATATTCCCATCAACATGAAGAGCATTTCCTCCACCAAATAAGCTGCTTTGCTGCTGTGGGCAGCAGCTATTAAACAGCAGATAAATGTATCTTAAAACTCCGTAATATTACGCTCATTTTCAGAGTCATACTTAAATTTGGGTTTCTACTAGAAAATGTTTACATGCTTTAATGTTCAAAAAACATTAATTAACAAATGTTATTTTTCTCATCAGTGTATTCAGTACGTGTTCAGTGGTGCGCTGTCAAGAAGGGAGGCAAATTCAAACACCATGCTTGCACACACATTTCCAACAAAAGACTGACCAGGAGAAAAAGATGGGATGGTTTTTTCTGATAGTTTGGGGTCTTCAATTAGCATATCAACAGTCCTTATGAGCAAAGCAGTAGTATCGTAGTGTGTTGTTATGGCCGTCCTAGCATGTTTGTGTCCCCTCCTCAAGTGGCAGAAAAGGTTGTAAATCATTAGGTAATAGTTTCCAGGCCTGTAATTAGCTTATAATGTCCACTGAAATAGGTAATAATAAAAATCTCCTTTTAAACCCAAGTAATTGATTGTTGTAAAATGTTGAGAAAGGGTTTGTTATTCTGATTCTAAATTCTACAATAATATAATATAGTGTGCAAGTGTGCATGCGCCAACCGTGCATGCAATCACTGTTGCTGTTTACATTCCACTCTCTGCCAACCCGACGTTGGCATGTAACGCCATCCACACCGCCATTGCTGAACTCCAGACTCAACACCTGAGTGCCCTTATAGTAATCTCGGGTGACAACCACGTCACCACGACCACCAGACTAACTGACTTCGCCACAGACCACAACCTGGTCCACATCATTCCCTGCTATGTGCCTGTGGTGAAAAGGCTACAAGGATAGTGAAGGGATGATCGGAGGAGCCTATGAGACACTTCAGGAATGTTTTGAGGTGAGAGACTAGGATGCACTCTGTGAGTCACATGGAGAGGACATAGATGGGCTTCCTGAGTGTATCTCAGACTACATAAACTTATATGTGGACTACACTGTCCCAGCAAAAACTGTCCATTGTTACTCAAACAACAAACCGTGGGTAACAAAGGACATCAAGGACATCCTGAATGCTAAGAGGAGGGCTTTCAGAGATGGGAATAGGGAGGAGGTGAGGGCCATTCAGGGAGACCTGAAGGTGAAGATCACGGAGGCTAAGGAGAAGTACAGGAGGAAGCTGGAGCTTAAACTCCAGCAGAACAACATGAGGGAGGTCTGGAGCGGCATGAGGAACATCACTGGCTTCAGACCGAATGGCAGCAGAGGAGTTGAAGGCAGCTTGGACAGGGCCAACGAACTTAATCTGTTCTTTAACAGATTTGACTCAATGGCTCCTTCCCATCCCCCCACTAACTCAGCTGCTGTCTGCCCTCAAACACCTCCAACCCCCCCTCCTCTGGCTTTCAGGTTAACAGCTCTCTCCAGTCTGATGACTCCTCCCCTCCCCCACCTGTAACCTCTGTGGGCCTCACTGCCGACCAGGTGAGAAGACAGCTGAGGAGACTCCACTCCAACAAGGCTGCAGGCCGTGAAGGTGTCCGCCCCGGGGTGCTCAAAGCCTGTGCTCCCCAGCTATGTGGAGTCCTTCACCATGTCTTCAACCTGAGCCTGAGTCTCCAAAGGGTCCCTGTGCTGTGGAAGACATCTTCTCTCGTTCCTGTGCCAAAGACGCCACGTCCCAGTGACTCCAAGGACTTCAGACCTGTGGCACTGACCTCCCACATCATGAAGACCCTGGAGAGACTGGTTCTGGATCAGCTGCGGCCCATGGTCAGGCCTCTTCGGGACCCCCTCCAGTTCGCATACCAGCCGCATCTATTTTCTGAGGAGGCTGAGGTCCTTCAACATCTGCAGGACGATGCTGAGGATGTTTTATGAATCTGTGGTGCTATCCTGTTTGCTGTTGCATGCTGGGGCAGCAGGCTGAGGGTAGCGGACGCTAACAGACTCAACAAACTGATACGCAAGGCCAGTGACATTGTGGGGGTGGAGCTGGACACTCTGTCGGTGGTGTCAGAGAGGAGGATGCTGTCCAAGCTACATGTCATCTTGGGCAGTGTCTCCCATGACTTGCTGCTCAAACACAGAAGCACTTTCAGTGACAGACTCATTCCCCCAAAATCCACCACTGAGCGCCAAAGGAAGTGATTCCTGCTTGTGGCCATCAAACTTTATAACTCCTCCCTCTGACACAGACACTTAGTTATTATACTGGACTTTATTATGTGTTTTATGCAATATTATCTGTTTTATAATTATTGTGCATTGTTTATTCTCTGCTGCTATTTATTCACTACTGTTCACCATAACAATTTAATACCATAATGATTCTTATAATAATGTAAATATTGTACATACCCACACTCCTTTATATTTTTCTTTATATTTATATTCTCATATTTAAATACTCTTTATTCCACCTACTTTATATTATTATTTATGTTCCTGATGCCTTGATAAGTGTGTAACTGTGACAAAAGAATTTCCCCCTGGGGATCAATAAAGTATTTCTGATTCTGATAAATCTTTACCACAACCAACCACATCAAATGTTTCTTCACTTTCAAGTTCTTCTTCTGAAAAAGAAAATGTTGCAATACTTATTTGGAAGCAACTGAGGGGACAGATCAATGGAAGTAGAACAAAAATGAAATTTTGGGCCTGGGACCAAACAGGCTAATAATTAACTAAACTATAGCCTACATCATATCCTCTTGAGACCCCTGAAAAACATTTTGCCTCCATTTCTCTCATTCAACAGTTTACAGAGGTGAAACCTGTGAGACAGTTTTTCAGTGACATGCACTTAATTGAACCTTTTAATTTGTTTAAAATTAAATGCAAGTTGCTTCAGGAAACATGATTGGGAGGATTTGATTGCCTTGACTTAAAACCTGACCTAGTAAAGCAGTTACCTGGGCTCGCTTGTGGCAGCCTGTGAGCGTGTCTGGAGCCGCTGCTCGGTTACATAAGCAGCAGACAGAGCGGCTGTGTGCACGGCGCTGCTCCAGCTGCCCTGTCCTATCTCTTTAAATGAGACAGAGCTGTTCCGCTCTGCGTGAGTGTGGACAAATTACGAAACAGAGAGGGCCACTCTGTTGTGTAGGAGAACTAGGAGATCGAAAACACAACAGAGAAGATACTTTGCTTCAATTTGAACGGTTCTGAAGAGGAGGCTGTGTCTCGGTTGTCATCTAGGCTACGTTTGACTTATTCTGATTTTGGACCCGGTGCTCTTCTCGTAGGCCTATGTATGGGCTCGGTAGGCGCATCTTTCGCCTCCCGATAGGACATGACGGGCAGGGCTACCTCCTAATAATTATTTATTTCGCTCTCTCTGCGCCGCAGCATTGGGAGAAACGTGATAGAGAAGCAGCAACAACAGCGTGCTGATCATGGATTAATGCCCGAGTGAATTTTCATCCGAGAGGTAAGGGATGCTGCGAAAAAAGATGTGGGTGCAAAATGTGTGTAGCACGTCTGTGCTTGTTATGGATTATGGGGTGGCGGGTGATGGCAGCAGCATCCACACTGCGGCTCCTCCGCCTCGACTGCAGAGAGATCGGGGTGATGTTGGTGAATGGCGCTGGGTGTTCAGGTCTTTGTGTGCATGCTGGGGCCTTTGAGAGACGGAGCTGATCAGCCGCATCGAGCTGCGTATTATTAACAAACACAATGACGTCAGCGTCTGTCAATGACGCAATGTCTTTCGTTCTCATTTGTTCAGCAGTGTGATTTCTTTCTATCATTGTGTAACCAGGTGTTTTCTGTGTTTTTGTCATGGTTCCACCCCTGATGCGCTGTCATCGCTTTGTAGGCCTCTGTGGGCTCCATCACATGTTTCTATAGCTTCTAATGTTAAAGATGACAGTGATGATGATAGAGATTCACTGGACATCTTATACAATTCTAGCCCTTTGTCTTTGAAGTAGCTTTAAGGTTGAAAAAAATCCTGTCAGTGGCCTGTATTTGAAAACCTTGTGATTTGATGTAGAATTTAGAAGAGTTGCGTGGATTTGAACATCTTTTGGCTGTAAAGCCTACATTTATAATGACCGACCAAATGAGGGTGCTGATGAGGATAGTGTCAATTGTTACATTAGGATTTTTCAAACTCCATCCCTCTGAGTTTGTAGCTCAGGCTTAATGTAATAAATTCACTCTCCAACCCTGTACTGAGTTAACATTAAAATATGATATCATATGGGGTCATTTCTCAGACTTGACAAAGCTCCCCCGGGAGGGACGTGCGGGTGATATGTAATGAGCTATAAATTGTAGTAAGTTGGAAAGTGGCTAATGAACCTTACAGCTGTGTAAATGTTTGAGGATGAATAACAGTTGTGAGCAGGGGTGCCGGCAGGAATTTTGGGCCCCATGACAAAAAATCAAATTGGCCCACAATGCATGTGATATATACATATATACTGTGTATACACAGTATATATATTAAAATACACCATATACCAATAAATGACACTAACACTACAGAACATTGACCCAAATTACCTACAGTTCTGTATCACCACCACTTGATTACAGACATTAGATATGATAGATTTTTGTGTGTGTGCAAGCTTCTCAAATAAATTGGAATTTAATGTTGGGAATAATAAAGTCTGTATCTGTAGATGTAAATGAATGTATAACAAACTGAATTATTATAATATTGTCTGTAACTTACATGCAGTTTCCAGCTGTCCAGCATCCAGTACAGACAGGAGTTTTTTTTTATTTCACAATGGTCATTATATGAGAAAATAATTTGTGTTTGAATTTCTGTCATTAAAAAATATTTCATTTTCTTTTTTGTTACGGTAAAAAGAGCAAGATAAGCAGAAAAATCCCCCAGCCTTCCTGGAATGATGCCAACTGGCATGTTATTAACACCATGCTCCTCACCTTCTTTACTGGGACAGGAAGGCTACAGTTATAGGGAGACTGGGTGTTGTTAGTCTGTTAAAAGGGGTAGGGACAACTATTTATTATGAATATCTTATATATATATATATATATATATATATATATATATATATATATATATATATATATGTATACACTCAATGATGATGGTTTATCAAATGTATAATAAAATAGAATTTTCTATTAGTTTTTACCTATTTTTTGGGGCCCTTGGAATTGTCCTAACTTTTCCCCCCTATAAGGCACCCCTGGTTGTGAGTAAACATTATGAAAGACTAACACCACTTTCCTTAATAGGCTAGCATTACCTGGCTAACATCTGCATTTAGCTTTGCTAGTCAACTGTCAAGAGCCAAAAAGAGGCTTAAAACGAAAAATACTGCCAACAGGGTTTGTACAACATGCCTGTTCCATCATCCAAGAGCTCAAATGAAAAACAGCACACTGCAAAAACACAGGAGATTCACAACAATTTTAAAAGTAGTGGATTACCACCCTTGAGCCCATCTTCCAAGAATATGACCATTAACTTGGTATGTGAAGTGCTGACAGGGGTGGAGAGAAAATGAAAAAAGCTTTAAATGGATCCCAGAGCAAGTGTTACAACTGTGAAAGAGAAGTAAGGGTGCTGAGAACTATAGGAGAAGATGGAAGCTACATCTGTATGGCATGACAGAGTTAGCTACAGAGGATGTCAGACGTGAGAACATCAAACTTCTTGCAATACTCGTTCCCGAGAATAAGGAAAATATCGGTTTACTTATTGAAACATAGAGTATAGAGTAGGTGTGCTTTGTGATAATGCAGTTTGACCAGCTATTGTCCATTTCACCATGCACAGTTTCAGAAACAACATATGGAAGAATACTCAGGACAACAGGATGCTAAAAAAAAAGAAAATACAAGTTAAGGAGTACCTTACAAACTCTGACAAGCTAAAAAGACACAAGCAAGGAAAGTCGTTTTTCATGAACCAGACACATATTGACAAGAAGGACACTGGGTTATCCTTATTTTAAAGGAATATTTCACCACTGGAAAGATGTTCATAAAACTGTGCTGTCTATGCATTAGAAAGACGCAGATGTTTTTGAAATAGGTGTTACGTGACCAGAGAAAACAGAAAAAAGGGCTGTAATATTCCCTTTTGCTCAAAAGGTAGAAAACCTAGGCTTGGGGGGTATTACAGTATACCAGGGTATTTAGAAATCTCCCGAGCCTCTCTCAGACTACAGTGACGACACCACAGCTAACAACATGCAGTCCATTAACACCACAAAACAACTGGCTACCAGCAAAACGCAGACTCCAACATAAACTCCCCGTAAGGATAAAAACAACAGCAAAGTTTTATGTGCTGAAGCCCATCAGACCAAACGAGATTCAGACGATGTCGAGTGAAAATGCAGTGAACATCAGAAAGGCTGGAGAGAAAAGTTAGCTCACTGGCTAATGCCGAATCACATTACTATCCTGTGTACCGCCAGAATTAAGTGTTGATTTAACCTGCACGAAATGATGTAACGGTAAAAAGCAAATGTGGAGTGGTTTGTTTACTAGCCTATAGTAATGCAAGGCATGGGCAGCCAGCTAATGCTACATTAGCTCAGACCTGCCACTGTTTGCTTTGTAATGTTCAATTTAGATTTATTGTCTTTTTACCGATACTCAGGTACGCAGCTTCTCCACCTCTCAGTCGCTGTGGCTAATATGACCCACATAATATACAACACTGCAACAAAATGGCGACAACGACACAAAGGAAGAAAGTTCAGAATCAGAATCAGCTTTATTGCCAGGTATGTGTACACATACTTGTACATTGTTCATGATGTGCTTACTCATACAAAAATGCAATATCACAATAATAAAATAAAATAAAATCAGACACAGAATTCACAAATATACACACTATGAACAAAAACAATATAGACATATTGACAAATAGTGCAGTCAGCAGAGTGCAAAGGATGCAGGAGTACGTACATGTCAGAGGTGGATGGATTCCACAGCAGACACAGGGCTGTTGAGTATCGTGATGGAGGGCAGAGTGGGGGGATCCTCCTGAAGTCCATGATAATCTCCACAGTTTTGAGCGTGTCAAGCTCCAGGTTGATCAACCTCCCGTCTGTAGGCAGAACTCAGCGAACTTCAGGAGTCTGACAGATGGGTCTCCTGAGGTGCCGTCGTTGGTGTAGAGGGAGAAGAGCAGGGGGGAGAGTACACACCCCTGGGGGGCGCCAGTGCTAACAGTCCGGGTGCTGGATGTGGTGTTTTCCAGCCTCACCTGCTGACTCCTGTCAGCCAGGAAGTTTGTGATCCACTGACAGGTGGAGGCTGGCACAGTGAGCTGGGTGAGTTTGGTGCGGAGGATGTCCGGGATGCAGTCCTAAGTTGACTGCATCATCCACTGATCTCTTAGCCCTGTAGGCAAACTGCAGGGGGTCCTTCAGGTGGGCCAACACCAGTCTTTTAAAGGACTTCATGACTACAGATGTCAGGGCGACAGGCCTGTAGTCATTTAGTCCAGAGATGGAGGGTTTTTTGGGGACCGGGATGATTGTGGAGCATTTGAAGCAGGAGGGAACTTCACACAGCTCCACTGATCTGTTGAGGCAGGATGGAGACACACCGTATGGACCAGGAGCCTTTCTGATCTTCTGCCTTTGGAAGAGGTGGCTCACGTCCTCTTCACAGATCATGAGTGCAGGCTTTTCAAACCTACAATAAAAGCCATTCAGCTCGTCAGACAGTCGTTGAGCACCAGCAGAGTTGGGGGATGGTCTCCTGTAGTTGGTGAGTGTCCGCAGGCCTCTCCACACTGACGCAGGGTCATTGGCTGCTTTTCAGTTCAGCTCCTCTTTGCTGCTTTGACCCCCTTTGTCAGAGTGTTCCTGGCCTGGTTGTACAGGACTCTGTTCCCACTTCTGAAGGCCTCCTCCTTGGCCTGACGAAGCTGCCTGAGTTTCGCTGTGAACCAGGGTTTTTGGTTGTTGTATGTGTAGAAGGTTTTAGTCGGCACACACGTCCTCACAAAAACTGAAAGAACAGTTTTAGCAGATTTCAGTCGCTGCCTGTATGTTGGGATAAGATGAACCAGACAGTGATCAGAGAGTCTCAAGGCTGCACAGAGAACAGAGCGATAGGCGTCCTTTAATGTAGTGCAGCAGTGGTCCAGTGTGTTAGTGTCCCTGGTGGGACACTTAATATGCTGTCTGTACTTTGGAAGTTCGTGGCTGAGGTTTGCTCTGTTGAAGTCCCCAAGAACAATGAGCAGGGAGTCTGGATGTTTTTTCTCCACGTTAGTTATCTGGTCGGCCAGGTGTAGTAACGCCTCACTAACACAGGCCTGAGGTGGAATGTAAACAGCGACCAGAACAAACGAGGAAAACTCCCACGGTGAATAAAAAGGTTTATAGTTTATAAATAATGTCTCTAGGTGAGGACTGCATGATTTCTTCAACACTGTGACATCTGTGCACCAACCTTCGTTTATATAGAAACACC